AAAGAAAGATTCAACAATCACAATAATATACTGAACTTTCAAAAGGAGAAAACAGAACTGCAGTTGCCAGAGGTGGCAAAGGGGGAGAGAGAGGCAGGTAAGGGAAGAATTGGTAAAGGGCCACAAAAACTGAATACATTGTGTAATGTCACATTTACTAATTATCCTGATTTGAGCATCACATACTGCACACAGGTGTTGACATTCAACTATGTACCACACAGATATGCACAATCAATTATGTTTTTAAAATGAATAAATAAAAATAAAATATTATAAATAAATTTCCATATTATAAAAAAAGTCTCTGGAAATGTGCAGAGTTAAATAATGCCTTGGGAAAATGTTTGGATTAGGGGCAAGCATGGCTAATCAATTTTAGCACTGAAGACAAGACAGAGCATTTGAGATTACCTGAATTATGGNGAACTCCTATTTAACATAGTACTGGAAGTACTAGCCTGAGATAATCAGGCATGAAAAAGAAATAAAGGGCATCCAGATTGAAAAAGATGACCTCAAACTGTCCCTGTTTGCAGATGACCTGATCCTACATATAGAAATACCTAAAAATTCTGCCAAAAAAAAATCTTAGAGTTGATAAATGATTTCAGTAAAGTTGCAGGATACTAAATCAATATGAAAAAATCAGTAGTGTTTTTATACTCCCAAACAAACTAACAGGAAAAGAAATAAAAAAGCTAGCCCATTTACAATAGTCACCAAAAAGAAAATAAAATACATCAGAACAAGTTTAACCAAGGAGTTGAAAAATCTCTAAAACAAGAACTAAAAATCCCTACCAAAAGAAATTAAAGATGACACAAATAGGTGGAAAGACATTCTGTTCCCCTGTCTGGAAGAATTAACAATGTGAAAATGTCCATACCACCCAAAGACATCTACAGATTCAATGTAATCACTATCAAAATACGAATGATGTTTTTCATAGAAATAGAAAAAATAATGCTAACCTTGGTATGGAACAACAAAAGACCCTGAATAGACAAAGCAATCATGAGCAAAAATATATAAATAAAGCTGGAGGCATAACACTACCTGATTTTAAATTGTACTACAAAGTTGTAGGAACCAAAACGACATGGTACTGGCATAAAAACAGATACTCAGAACAACGGGACAAAATAGAGTACCCAGAAATCAACCCATGTATTTATAGCTGACTGACCTGCGAAAAAGGCACCAAAAATACACATTGGGGAAAAGACGGCTTCTTCAATAAATGGTGCTGGGAAAGCTAGATATCCATATGTAGAAGAATGAAACTAGACATGTGCCTCTTGCCATATAACAAAATCAACTCAAAATTGATTAAATACTTAAATGTAAGACCAGAAACTCTAAAACTCCTAAAAGAAAACATAGGGGAAACACTTCAAGAAGTAGCACTGGGCAAAGACTTTAGGAATATGACCCCAAAACCTCAGGCAACAAAAGGAAAAATAAACAAATCGGATTATATCAAACTAAACAGTTCTACACAGCAAAAGAAACAATTAAGAGAGTGAAAAGGCAACCTACACAATGGGAGAAAGTATTTGCAAGCTATTCATCCAGCAAAGGGTTAATATCCATAGTATACAAGGAACTCAAACAATTTAACAGCAAAAAAAAAAAAAAGAAAAGAAAAGAAAAAGGTTAAAAATGGGCAAAGGAGATAAATACGTATTTCTCAAAGAAAGACATACAAATGGGCAACAGACACATGAAACAAAACTCAACATCACTCAGCATCAGGGAAATGTAAATCAAAACCACATTAAGATATCATCTCACCACAGTTAGACTGGTTAATATCAAAATGACAGAGAATAACAAATGCTGGCTAAGATTTGGAGAAAGGGGAACCCTCCTGCACTGTTGGTGGGACTATAACTGGTGCAGCCATTATGAAAAATAATACAGAGATTTCTTAAACAACTTCAGATAGAACTGCCATAGGATCTAGCAATTACACTGCTGGGTGTATGGAAATCATGACGTTAAAGGGATACCTTCACCCCCATGTTTGTTGCAGCTCTATTTACAATAGCCAAGAGTTGAAACCAACCTAAATGTCTATCGATGGATGACTAGATAAGGAAAATGTGATATATTTACACAATGGAATACTACTCAGCCATGAAAAATAATGAAACTCTGACCTTCGCACCAACATGGATGAGCTTAGAGACAATTATGTTAAGTGAACTAAGCCAGGTACAGAAAAAGAAATACCACATGTTCACTCATATGTGTGAGCTAAAAAAAATAAGCAAATAAATTTTAAAAAAGAAAGAAAGAAAGATTCAACAATCACAATAATATACTGAACTTTCAAAAGGAGAAAACAGAACTGCGGTTGCCAGAGGTGGCAAAGGGGGAGAGAGAGGCAGGTAAGGGAAGAATTGGTAAAAGGCCACAAAAACTGAATGCATTGTGTAATGTCACATTTACTAATTATCCTGATTTGAGCATCACATACTGCACACAGGTGTTGACATTCAACTATGTACCTCACAGATACGTACAATCAAATATGTTTCAAAATAAATAAATAAAAATAAAATATTATAAATAAATTTCCACATTAAAAAAAGTCTCTGGAAATTTGCAGAGATAAATAATGCCTTGGGAAAATGTTTGGATTAGGGGCAAGATGGCTAATCAATTTTAGCACTGAAGACAAGACAGAGCATTTGAGATTACCTGAATTATGGGTAGTACATAGGAATTAACTGAATGAGTTTAATATAAAAATGTAACTTTTTGTTAGTTTATTGATCACTGTTTGTGGCTCGATTTGGAATGCTTTTGTCTCTTTTCCTGCAGTTTCAAGAACACGGAACCAGGAAACCAAACTCGTATTTCAGGATTTATCCTTCTTGGACTCTCAGAAGAAGCAGTACTGCAGCCCTTCCTCTTTGGGCTATTCCTGTGGATGTACCTGGTTGCCTTCATGGGGAACCTGCTCATCATTCTAGTCATTATCACTGACTCCCATCTCCACACACCCATGTACTTCTTCCTCTCCAACCTGTCCTTTGTAGACATCTGTTTCACCTCCACCACCATCCCTAACATGCTGCTGAACATCCAGACAAAAAGCAAAGTCATAACCTATAAAGCCTGCCTCAGCCAGATGTATTTTTTCATGCTTTTTGGAGGATTAGACAACTTCCTCTTGACCGTGATGGCCTATGACAGATTTGTGGCCATCTGTCACCCCCTGCACTACACAGTCATCATGAATTCCAAGTTCTGTGGCATCCTGCTTCTGTCTTCCTGGTTACTGAGTGTTCTGAACTCTTTACTACAGAGCTTAACTGTTTTGCAGCTCTCCTTTTGTACAGAGTTGGAAATCCCCCACTTTTTCTGTGAACTTAATCAGGTGGTCCAACTTGCTTGTTCAGATAATTTCCTCAATGACCTAGTGTTGTATTTGGCAATGGGACTACTCTGTGTTATTCCACTCACTGGTATCCTTTTCTCATACTCTAAGATTGGAGCCTCTGTTTTGAGAATTTCATCAGCTGGGGGCAAGTATAAAGCATTTTCCACATGTGGGTCTCACCTCTCAGTTGTCTCCTTGTTCTATGGTACAGGTCTGGGAGTGTATCTTAGTTCTGCTGCTACCCAAGACTCCAGGGCAAGTGCCATAGCCTCAGTGATGTACACTGTGGTCACACCCATGCTAAACCCCTTTATCTACAGTCTTAGAAACACAGACATGAAGCAAGCCCTAATAAAACTCTTCCGCTAAAAAAGTCTCTACATGACAGGTTAACAGTATGAGAGAACTGCTCGTATGTAACAGGGCTCAAAGTCCTGGAAGACCTAAATCATAATATGTTAATCAGTTAATAGATAATCTGCAATTTACCTTATATACAAGGATTTTTTACTTTAAACTAGTCAATATACATTATAGTTGATTTTCGTGACCCTTTACCTGTTCTTCTCCCCCTTTCCCATCCCCCACACACATATCTGTTCACTTGTCTTAACAAGTTCAAGGAATTGTTGTGACTGTTCTGTCTTCTTCCCCCCACCCTTTATTTGATTGTGTGTTTATTTATTTATTTATTTTTAGCTCCCACAAATAAGTGAAAACACATGGTATTTCTCTTTCTGTGTCTGACTTTTTTCACTTAGTATAATTTTCTCTAGAGTCCATCCATGTTGTTGTGAATGGTAGTATTTCATTCTTTTTTATTGCAGAATAGAATTTTGTTGTGTAGATATACCACAGTTTCCATATCCACTCATCTGATGATGGACATATGGTCCAGTTCCAACTCTTGGCTATTGTAAATAGTACTGCAATAAACATTGGAGAACAGGTATCACTTCAGCATGATGATTTCCATTCCTCTAGGTATATTCCCAGCAGTGGAATAGCTGGGTCATATGGTAGATCAATCTGCAATTGTTTGAGGAGCCTCCATACCATTTTCCATAGAGGCTGCACCATTCTGCAGACCAACCAACAGTGTATGAGAGTTCATTTTTTTCCACAAACTCTCCAGCATTTATCATTCTCAGTCTTTTGGATATTAGCCATCCTGAATGGAGTGAGATGGTATCTCGACCTCTTAATTTTTTATACATTGTAAACATCTGTTCTTTGCTACTTCTTGTTTAAAATAAGTACTTCTGTGATTATGTTGTTCAGGTTTAATGTAGAAAACTGAATCCATTGCGTGAATGTTGTTTAGTAAAATATTTAACTCATGAGAGTGGGTAATTATAAAATCCTAAGAAGAGATATATAGGAGTGTAGGTTTACTTCTTCCCCTGCCAGTTGAAAGAAAATACCTCTTGGATTATCTACTTTTAAAGAAGAATCATTTGTCATATCAAATTCTGTTTTAATGCCACCATTTACGTTGATATACTCCATGAGAATATTTCTAGAATGGGAATCACCATCATATTAAGTTTACAATCACCCATATTCACTTATCAACATCTAATTGTCTTCTGAACAGTGTAAAACATAAATTAAGTGAAGACATAATGGAAATCACAATCCTTGTTCTTTGAAATATTCATGTGATCTCCAATTCCAATAACTTCGCCAGATATGAATTATTGTTTTCTTTTAATGATTTTAACATTAATTTCTTCATTTATTTATATTAATTGATAAATAAAATGTTTATATTTTTATTTTGTCCATTATGTTGTTTTGAAATATGTATACATTGTGAATGGAAAAAGTAAGCTAATTACCTTATGCATTACTTCATATACTTATAATTTTTTCATGGTGAAAACACAAAATCTACTCAGCAATTTTCAAAAATACAACACTTTGCTATTAACTATAGTCACCATGTTCTACAATAAAATTTTGTATCCTTTGACTAACATTTCCCCAACCCACCACCCCCAGCCCTGGTAACCAGCTTTCTACTCCTACTTCTATGAGATCAACATTTTTAGAGTTTATATAGACATGAGATCATGTGGTATTTGTCATTCTGTGCCTGGTTTATTTCACTAAACACACTGTCCTCCAGGTTCATCCATGTTGTTGCAAGTTATTGGATTTCCTTCCTTTTGAAGGACGGATAGTATTCTCTTCTGTATACATACCACATTTTCTTTATCCACCCATCTGTTGATGAACACTTAGGTTGATTTCCTATTTTAGCTATTGTACCAGAACATACAAGGAATTCAAACAGCTCTATAGTAAACAATAATTATTATAAAAACAATAATCTGTTTAAGAATTTGACTAAGGAGCTGAATAGACATTTCTCAAAAGAAGACATAAAAATGGCCAACAGCTATATGAAAAAAATGTTGAACATCAATAATCATCAGAGAAATACAAATCAAAAGTACATTGAGATATTTTGTCACCCCAGTTAGACTGGCTATTATCAAAAAGACGAAAAATAATAAATGCTGGTGAAGATGCAAAAAGAAAGGGGAACTGTTAAACACTTCTGGTGGGACCGTAACTTAATACAGTCATACAAACCAGTATGAAGCTTTCTGAAACAACTACAGATACATCTGCTTTATGATTCAGAAATCTCACTACTGGGTATATGCCCAAAGGAACAAAAATCAATAAGCAAAGAGATACCTGGATAAAGAAAATGTGGTATATGTACACAAAGGAATACTACTCAGCCATTAAAAAAAATGAAATTGTTCCACTTGCAACAATGTGGATGGGCTTGGAGAAAACTGTGTCAAGTGAAATAAGGCAAGCACAGAAAGAGAAATACTGCATGTTCTCCCTCATAACAGGAAGCAAAAAGGAAATAAACAAACAAACAAAGGAATAAACAACCACCACAATAATATGCTCAACATTCAGAAGGAGAGAACAGAACTATGGTTACTAGGGGTGGAAATATCTGCAATTTTGTCACCAATAGAAATCACAAGTGTTTTGATATTGTACTATATTTGTGACAAACCTCAAAATATCACTTATATTTCTCACTACATCAAAGTTATATTCATTAGATGTTACTAAATGTTAGTATTTAATGTGTTAATAAAATGACACATATGTCACAAACAAAAATAAATTTAAAAAGTAATAAGTTGAACTTTCAGAAGGAGAGAGCAGAACTGTGGTTACTAGAAGTGAGAAAGAGGAAGGCAGAGAAATGATAGTGAGAGGCTGGTTAATGGGCACAAAACAGCTAGATAGAAAAAATAAGTTCCATTGGTATACACAAATAGGCATCTAAAATTAACAGTAATTTACTGCATGTTATAAAACTGTTAGAAGAGAAAAAATTGAATGTCCTTATCACAAAGAATTGATTTGGTTTTGCAATGATGAATATTCTAATTATTCTGATTTGATCATCTTACATTTAGTATATATATTGAAATATAACCCTGCATTCCAAAAATATGTATAATCAATAAGTTTCACTAAAAAAATAATTTTAGGAGCCAAGACATTACCTCTTGTCTTTTTTGATAATAGCCATTACAATACGTGTCAGGTGATTCCCATTGTGATTTTATCAGCATTTCCCTGGTATTTATTGACAGTTGAGCACCTTTTCATATACTTGTTGGTCACTTGTATGTTTTCTTTGGAAAAAATGTCTATTCGGGTCCTTTGATCAATTTTTAAGTGGGTTATTTGGTTTATTGCTATTAAGTTGTAGGAGTTTCTGTATATCTTTGAATTTAGCCCCTTATCAGAAATATGATTTTCAAATATTTTTTCTCACTCTGTAGGTTGCCTTTTAATTTTTCGATTGTTTCCTTTTGCTATGCAGAGGCTTTTAGTTGATGTACTCCCACTGGCTTATTTTTTCTTTGTCACCAGAGTTTGTTTTCTATCCAAAAACTGATTGCAACGACCAATGTCAGGAAGGATTTCCCCTATGCTTTACTCTAGGATTTTTGAGGTTTCATGTCTCACATTTAAGTATTTAATCCATCTCGAGTTCATTTTTATGCATGGTGTAAGATAAGGATGCAATTCCATTGTTCTGTATGTGGATATGCAGTTTTCCCAGGCCCATTTATTAAAGACACAATATAAACCTAACCCAGGCAACAACAGCATAATCCTCTGGGCTAGAAATTTTGGTTGGTGTGACCTCAGAATAAAATAAATCCTCCAAATGACTATGACCTGGACCAACCAGTCAAAGCAACACAATCATCAATTGACTCAAAACAACTTAATCAATGGAACAAGTTACCCTACCCTAGGGATAACAGCTCAGTTCTGTTTCTGAGTTCCTATCGACAATAGAGTTTATGACCTCGATGTTGGATCACGACATCCCAATGGTGCAACTGCTATTAAAGAACACGATCATCAATTGACTCAAAACAACTTAATCAATGGAACAAGTTACCCTACCCTAGGGATAACAGCTCAGTTCTGTTTCTGAGTTCCTATCAACAATAGAGTTTATGACCTCGATGTTGGATCACGACATCCCAATGGTGCAACTGCTATTAAAGGTTCATTTGTTCAACGATTAAAGTTCTATGTGATCTGAGTTCAGACCAGAGCAATCCAGGTCAGTTTCTATCTATTACTGCATTTCTCCCAGTATGAAAGGACAAGAGAAATAAGGCCCACTTCAAAAAGCACCTTCAACCCCAATGAGTGATATAATCTCAAATCAACCTGTTACCACACACCCCACCCAAGAGCAGGGCTCCTTAGGACGGCAGCCTGGCAATTGCATGAAGCTTAAGACTTCACAATCAGAGGTTCCACTCCTCTTGCTAACAATATGTATGCCATTAACATGCTGCTACTTATCATCCCCATCATACTCGCAGTAGCATTCCTCACTCTCATAGAACAGAAAATGCTTGGCTATATACAGCTCCTCAAAGGGTCCAACATTGTTGACCCCTGCAGCCTCCTTGAACCCTTCACCAATGCAATAAAACTATTCACTAAAGAACCACTCCAGCCACTAACATCAGCCACCTCTCTATACATCATTGCACCCACACTAGCCCTTGCTGTAGCACTCACCATGTGAGTACCACTACCTTTAGCCCACCCCTAGCCAACCCAAATATAGGAATAATATTCATCCTAGCTACCTCAAGCCTGGCTGTCTACTCGATCCTCTGATCAGATGAGCATCAAACTCAAAATACGCCCTAATTGGCACTCTCCAAGCAGTATCCCAAACAATTTCATATGAAGTTACCCTAGCCATTATCCTTGTATCACTCCCTCATCACCACCCAAGAGTTCATGTGATTAATCCTTGCATCATGGCCACTGTTTATGAT